TACTTTATGGTTTCCGTGTTTGGATGGCCTGATCCAAACACTTGGGAATGTTGCTCGAGTTAAGAAAAGCGGGCAAAATCACTCGCCTTCGGCCCGTGATTTCGCTCGCTTTTCTTAACTCTCGCAACATTCCCGCGTGTTTGGATCAGGCCATCCAAACACGGAAACCATAAAGTAATTGTATAATGTATTACGTTGTAAGCGATTTAAAAACCCTAGGAAGACTGAATTTGTTGAGAAACATTTTAAACTTCTACTGGATAGTGATTTTTTCAACCGTTGTAAAAATGCAAGAAAAGCTAAGAATATTGGCAAACTAGGAAAAATTGTTCCGGAAACATTTGAAAAATCCGATGTTTCGAATAGTTCCTCGTTGGCCTACCATTCCCTGGGGTCGGTTGTACGAAGATGGGACAGCGCTATCCGATTTAAACTTTAGTACTTATAAATTAAAGTCTCTCTTTATTAATTGTGAAGTCCATATCCATTGTTTATAAGTTCTGTAATTCGTTTTCAGTTTCAAAAGACATGAAGTGTCCCAAGGAGGATTCAGTTGGTGCAGTTTGCGGAGAAGATAATCAGTCGTATGAAAGCGAATGTGAAATGCTTAAAAGAGGTGTAAAATTAGCGTACAAGGGCCTGTGTAAGAAAAACTGCCAGTCTGAGGTATGTTTATTCGTTTTCTTTACATTTTGGTCATTACTAAAGGAGGAAGCGGAGAGAAAACAAACGTTAGTCATAGAAGTGAAATCGACCAATCGCTGTGTCACAAACACACACTATACTTCCAAATTTTCAAATTAAGTCAAATCCAATACAATACTTATTTTATGCCAGGTATGTGGAATCGAAAGTGGTACATATGCAAGTCGTTGCCATGCCAACGAGGTTAATGCACACGTGGACTACTATGGTCGTTGTGAATATCACTTCAAGTCAGCCTTGATGAAAGACAATGAGAGAGGAAGTTCTTTTGAGGATGAAAGATGTGAGATGGTGTATGAAAATGGAAGATGTTCTTCGGTGAAATGTGAGGCTACTGTGTTACCACCAGGAGCTTGTTGTCCAATCTGTGGTGAGTATCGAGAAGGAATGATTTAATATGGTGGTGGTGGTTGTGATGGTATATGAGATTAAAAAAACTTATTAATAATTCATGAAGAAAATACAAAAGAAATCACGGGCGTGAAGGAGTCTGTATATGTGATACAGATTCATGTTCATTTACATAAACTTTAACTTTGATTTTCTCGGCTTAGACAACGTTTATTTTTAAAATTACTTCGACATTACATTCGCGTCAACATATCCGATACAACACGGCCGCTCATGTTGTAAATAGTACATAGAGGATGTTCACCTGTAAGACATGAGACAACTGTATTGCCACTAGAGGCTTGTTGTCCAATCTGTGGAGAGTATCGAGAAAGAATGATTTAATATGGTGGTGGTTGTGATGATATATGAGAATACAGGATGTTCACCTGTAAGATATGAGACGACTGTATTACCACTAGAGACTTGTTGTCCAATCTGTGGTGAGTATCGAGAAAGAATGATTTAATATGGTGGTGGTTGTGATGGTATATAAGAATACAGGATGTTCACCTGTAAGACATGAGACGACTGTATTACCACTAGAGACTTGTTGTCCAATCTGTGGAGAGTACTGGTGGTTGTAGTGGTGGTGATGATGATCGAGGATGGTGGTAGTGATGGTGGTAGTGGTGTCAATGATGATGTAATATAGTGGTGAAGATGATGGTGATGATGGTGATAATCCAAAAACCATGACCAGCCGACAATTTAAAAAAGTAAAGTAAAAACAAATTCCGAAAAGACAAGACATCTTGAGAATACAATATATGATTCAAAATAAGACGCAGGTTGAGACTAAATTTTCGACTTTATTTCAAAGTCATCTTCAGACAGAATGATAATGGTAGTAGTAATTATGGTAATGATTATGGTAGTAATGATGGTGATGACGATGATGGTGGTGACAGTGGTGATAATGATGGTTGTTGTAATGATAGCAGTGATGATGATAGCGCTTGTGATGGTGATGATGATGGTAGTGCTGATGTTCTGATGGAAAAGATTGATGTCATGGTCATATGGTAATCTAATGATGGTAACGATGTTGATGGTGTCGCTTAATGGTAGTAATACTGATAAAGGTGTTTACCGGTCACACAACTTAACCAAAGCCAGACGCATGTACCAAAGCTTGTTTGGTGTGGTATAACGGATGACAGTTGTGCTTCACGTCTTCCATGCCATTTCGTAGGTTCTGCTTTAGTCATCAGTGTCAACCACAAAGCCGCAATCTCACTCAACAGATCCTATCGTCTTCAACAACTTTACACCTTCATCGGCGACAATGAAATCAATGCACGTCTCTGCAAGATCTCGGTTGACTTAACCTATTCCATGGACATACTGCTTGTTATACAGCCCTACAACCGTCTCCATCTTGACACTTGCAAAGACCTCGCAACGAGAATATCTGATCGGATCAACTTCGAAAGAAAGAAGGAAGAAACAGGAATTTTTGCGATGCTAGGAGCAGCAACATTGATTAAAGAGAAGGCTACAGAAAGGATAGATAAATCTGGCATTGAGAACTTGACTTGAATCTAATTTTTTTAAAACTCAAAATAAACTCCTGTTTGATTGAAAAATAACGGACCATTGGACCATATAAAAGTTCACAATAAGTGAACCTTTATAGTAACTTTGACTTTATTTTTGTTGCTTGTAGTTGAGTATACAATACATCTGTTAGAAACTTACGCTACTCAAATACTGTATAGCTGATTAAACAAACTTTTGGGACACCATTGCGTAATACTAGAATTACATATTTTTAAACTAGAGCATATATTCAATAGAATAAGGTTAGGGAACTCGATGCAGGCCTCATATACCTTATTACGGTATCTATGTTTTTGTCTTGGATTGTGCAAAAAATGGTCGGTTCTTCGTCACGTGTGTATTGCATTCTCGCTAGAACGGTTAATAGCTGTTACACACGTAAAAATCTCACAACTTGTCAACAAGATATGTTCGCAACAGGCTTGTAGCAAGCTTGTCAACAAGTTGTAACAACGCTGTTATTAGTATAAAGTTGCTACAAGGTTGTCACTCACAACTTGTTGACAAGTTGTTGAATTGCAGGACGATAACAAGCTGTTGGAACAACTTGCAAAAGTCTGTTGAGCTAAACAACCTTGTAGAAACTTGTCAACAAGCCGTTGACAACTTGTCAACAAGCTGGGAACAAGCAGTGCGAACACATCCTGTTGACAAGTTGTTGGAACAGCATTGCTACAAGTCTGCTGCAGGTTTGTTACAACTTGTGCGTTTTTACGTGTGTACACACAAACCTGCAGCAGACTTGTAGCAATGCTGTTCCAACAACTTGTCAACAGGACGAGTTCGCACTGCTTGCTCCCAGCTTGTTGACAACTTGCTACAAGGTTGTTGAGTTCAACAGACTTGTTACAAGTTGTTCCAACAACTTGTTATCGTCCTGCAATTCAACAATTTGTCAACAAGTTGTGAGTGACAAGCTTGTAGCAACTTGATAAAAATAACAGCATTGTTACAACTTGTTGACAAGCTTGCTACAAACCCGTTGCGAACACATCTTGTTGACAAGTTGTGAGATTTTTACGTGTGTGAAAGACAAATCGACCAATCGCTGTGTCACAAACACACACTATACAGTACTTGTAACAAACCTGCAGCAGACTTGTAGCAATGCTGTTCCAACAACTGGTCAACAGGATGTGTTCGCACTGCCTGTTCCCAGCTTGTTGACAACTTGCTACAAGGTTGTTGAGTTTAACAGACTTGTTACAAGTTGTTCCAACAACTTGTTATCGTCCTGCAATTCAACAATTTGTCAACAAGTTGCGAGTGACAAGCTTGTAGCAACTTGATAAAATAACAGCATTGTTACAACTTGTTGACAAGCTTGCTACAAGCCTGTTGCGAACACATCTTGTTGACAAGTTGTGAGATTTTTACGTGTGTAGCTGCTGCTATGTTTTCATCTAACCATTGTGTACCGTGATATTACGACTGGGTAATTAAACCAACACACTGCTATCGGTTGGTCAAAGATAACGAGGTCTATTATGTCTGTATCGAGTTTCCTAACCTTATTGACTATGGCTAGAGGTAATTCAATATTAATGAGTATACCCACATACACCTTGGTACAAGATTGAAGCGAACACATCTTGATGTAATGTCGACAAGATGTGAGATTTTGGGCGATTTTCCATATAAATGCCCCGACATGACGTCGCAATAACTCCTCTAGTTTTTTGTTGGAATTAGTTGAGGAGGATCAGGTGGAGTAGGATGGGGATAAGGAGGGGTTTAGAATAGTAATTAGTGAGCTCTATATATCTGGAGCAAGAAATTCAGTCATTCGGCCCATGAAAAAAGTGAAGCGAAGTCGGCGGAAATTGACGTCCAATAGCTATGAAGGTGGTAAACAGTTTTAACGGACCGCATCGCTAAACAAATTATCAGTTCGTAAAACCATAGTGTTATTCCTTAAATCGATATCAAAATACGAAATTTCAGCACACTCCTTGCCAGCCTCGTTTTAACCGCGCAGACAACAACAGTAGAAAGGGACTGGAACTGACGTCCAATAGCTCTTCAATTTATATGGAGCTCACTGGTAATAACCAGGAATGCTTCCAATCCATATCGAAGCTTGATCTTGTAGGCCACGACATGACTTGCACCTAATGTGTATTAAGCTAACTGAATGCCACTTTAAGCAAACGGTAATACGCCAAATCCTTCTGCTAAACTACTAGTATCTTCATCATCATTCACTTCTTTAGAGCAATTACCCTCCTCTTCAAAGTTCTCATCCAAATCTTGATGAATATACAACATTTCATGGGGACATTTCCGAGGCGCCCCTTCAGCCTCATCCCCAGTGCAAATTGTCTTCTTGCGAAAAGCCATACAATGGGTATGATGATCCTTATGGTACTTCCATCTTAAAAACCCGATACTTTCAATGGCAGTTTTCCATGACTTAATCATTGCCATGTTTTTATTTTGGTGGCTGGAATCCGGTGTGATAATTATGAGCAGTCCATTATCTTTTAATAAGTTGTGCGCTTTAAGACAGCAAGTCCATCTCTGTGCCTTTGCAGGAAGGTAACTCAACAGTAGACAAAATACCACCACGTCAAAACTGTTCTGTGGAAGGTTGGTGATTTTAGTGATACCATTGTCGATACAGTTTTGTATCTGCTCTGGAAAGCAGGAATGACTTGGCATCGTAGACGTAGAGCAGGGAGAGGTTGAATTGTTTTTGCTTAAGAAGTTAGTGTCTTTAATGATATCGAGGAATAGGAAATCACAAGCAAACACAGACTAGAACAAAGGTGGAGTGTTTTAAGACTGAGTGTGCTAAAAAAGTTTAACAATGTAAATTTTCCTCTTAAACAAACCATTAAAGAAGTCACTAAGTTAACTCATTTGAAGACATTTGTGTACTTTAATTACATACAGTTTTGTAAGGAGAAGTATGTTAAAGTATGTTTGATCACGTTTAAAGGTCAAAGTGCGATTAACCCCAAATATGATTTTTTGTATGTGTAATATTTGGGTCATTCGAAGAATGTAATATATCTTTATAATAAAAAATCCCATCTTGATCAACTTTTTCACTGTCAAAGAAGTTTCCGCGTATGATATCATTAGGTGAATTGCAAATTAGTTTTCCTTTGTTTTTTGTACCAAACATTCACCTAATGACATCATATCCAGAAACTTTGACAGTGAAAAAATTGATGAAGATGAGATTTTCTACTATAAAGATATATTACATTTCTTCTTCAAATATTACACATAGCAAAAATGATATTTGGGGTTAGTCGCACTTTAACACGTCACTGTATCAGTGTACCTATGCAGTGTACATCATTATTATATATCTAAACTCACCTTGTCAGCAGGACAAAGGTCAATAGCCAGGGGTATAAATATATCTGAAAATGCTTGGAATGGATTAAAACAACTGCCAACATCCAAGAGAACAAGCTTGTCACTCTTCATTTGATAATCATCTCTAAACACAAAATAACCATGAGTCCATGACAGCCATTTAGCCAGGGTGTCAAAACTGGTCGGCCACAAAATATTGCGGGTGTGGCAACCTATTTTCGTGGATGTGGTAAAAAAACATAGCGATGAAATTAATTGTCATATATATACACAACAGCTGACAACCATAGAAGTATTCAAGAAATATCACAAAGCTTGCAAGTTGCTGGTTAAAGAAACATTTTCTTAGGCCGTCCATGGCCATCTATTGAAAACTGTGGCTGTCTAAATCCAAAGTGGCCGTCCATAGGATGGTTGGATGGCCATCTGGCTAAATGCCTGAACCATGATTTTTAATCCCTAATCCCATAGTTTGATGGGTGTGGCTACAGCTAGAATCCATCTGGCCGGATACTAGGTTAATGCTGAATAGGCTACCGTGCTTAAACTATCAATGAGGTTGCATGGTTTAACAGTGCCTTTTTTAAGGAATTTTCACTGGGGGGGGGTGGTGGGGGGGGGGGGCAAAACAGGAAAAAAAGCAGAACGAAAATTATGAGCCGTCAAGGTTTGGCGAACGCGCGAGTCTGAAGAGAGATTTTGTAAAACTTTAATTTATTAACTTCACTTATATTTTACTTTAAACAATAACTTCAACTCTTTGTAGCTATAATTGTACAGCTATAACCAGTGGTGTATCCAGACCTTAATTTTTTTTTTTGGGGGGGGGGCGAACCTCACCTCACGCCGAAGGCGTGAGACCGTCTAGGAGGGTCCGGGGCATGCACCCCCGGGAAAATTTTGAAATCTAGGGTCCCTGAATTGCGATTTCAAGCATTTTGGGGGTGAAATCTAGCAAAATTCCGAAGATTATAAAGTACATCGAAGACATGAATTTTTCCAGACATTTCTACTCGGAATTAAATA